CAAAATAAATTTAGCATCCTTGAAGAGGAAGAAATAATTTCTACATAAAAGCATCATCAATTTTCGCATACCATGCCAATTAGAGTGGAGAAGAACCAAATAACTAACAAATAGTTAGATAATTGTTCGAGTAATTATTCAGTTATATTAGATTTGATAGTTCATTTAACACTAAACTAAATAAATTTTAGTATTCAAAATCATTAAGAATATAAGTTAACTAGAGGTACATTAAATTCATTTGCTTATCGAATATTCATTTAAATTTTGATTGCTTATGATTTATGCACTTGATGCTATATTTTCAACCCACTTGCTATTTTTATTTTGAGTTATATATACTAATTTTGGGATACTTAAATGATCATAAATTACATTGCTAATGCAATATTTGACTTAAATATATATATACATCATAATTATGAAGGAATAATTTTTATTTATAAATTTAAATAGTATTTGAAAATCAAATTCTTTAGTGGAATACATATTACCTTTATATACAATAAATATTTGTGAATTTATATGAGTATTTATTAAATATTGAGTATTTGTTCCAAAATATTATATCAAAATTTTCCTACTTTATTCCCTTTTTTCCTAATAAATAGATTGAAATTCTAATTTGTTCTAAAGATTATTCTAGGAATAAATATATGGATTATTAAGATTATTTTTTTGGATATTTTAAAACCTCATATACTTTTATAATTAAGTTAAAATTCCAATGCAACAATCACGAGATGAAGGTTTAAGCAGGAGAATATCTTTTGGGGGAGGGAGGTTGGGTTGGGGGGGGATTAGATTAAATCACTATGTGAATGCCTTATATCTTATAAAATTGTGATGTCATATTTAATTGTTTCTTGTTGTAGGGCTAAACTCGATGTACTCTTTTGTTCACACCAAATCTAAAAAAAATGATAATAAAAAATTAATGGCAGATGATTATATATATATTATTTTTAAAAAATATTACAAAAAGGAGTGATATAACAAAGGAGAGAATGATGACTAAAATATCTTTTTTTTTAATTTAAAATTCTGAAATAAAAACTATCCACGTTCTCATTCGACTATACCCAACTTTTTATTCTTTATTTTTTGTCTTAGAGTATTATAAATAAATATGAATATTGTAAAGAAGAGGCTGGTGGTTAAACCATCTAATTTTTAATTTTAAAATAAAAGTCACCAAATCCCTTTTTTATTTCTTTTAAGTCTTAAAATATTCAAAAAAAAATCTCCAGCTTCAATTATCTAATTTTTAATAATCCATATGCTATAAATCATTGGTGTAAGTCATTTGTATACTTATATCCATAAAAAATAGAGTCTATACAAAAATATAGAAAAAAGTAACAATTCAAAAGAAATTGATCAATTTAATTTAGATGGATATTATGACGAAAGAAGAAACAAAGAGACCAAATAAATTAGATATAAAAAAATCAGACATCTAGCTTTTAGCTTTTCAAGCTAATAATGCGGCTCAGTTCCCACAACACATTTTATATTACTTATTACTAGTGTGCACCCATGCAAAGCACGACCCCCTGTTTTTTTAAACATTACATTTTGAGCTTGTTCCTTTAAGTATTAATGCATTTGATTTGATTATTGTATGCTTAATATTAGATATTATATCTACTTCTCTCTATTTAACAAATGATGCAAGTTTTTAATAGATTTGATGTAGAATTCATATTTACTCCTTTATACTTAAAAAAAACCTAAGTTTTAATATATTTGATTTAAAAATTATATCTATATTTATAGAAGGATCCAAACGTTAATACTGTAGTGAAAATATTTTATGTTATGCTACAGTATTTTTAACTGTAGTGATAACATCACTTTTAGTTGAATATAATAGATTTAATTTACTGTTCATACTACAGTAATTTACTGTAGTATAAATTACTGTAGTATTTACTATACTATAAATAGTAATTCCTGGGTTCTCGTTTTAAGTATAGAAGATAGAAGATAGAAGTGTAGATAGGCCTGTCCATCCGGGCCGGGCCGGCCCGGGCCGAGCAAAACCGGGACCCGGACCCGGGCGCCGAGCCCGACCGGCCGGGTTCGCGGACTGCCCGGCTGATTTTCTTTTTTTATTTTTATTTTTTCCAAAATTTTCATTTTATTTAAATTTAATTATAAAAATAAGAAAATAATAAAAACAATAATTTTATAATTACTTAAAATGACATAAATTACAAATAAAAATGATAAAAACAAATTCTTTATTAATAATAATAATCATGTTACAAATTACAGTACAAATTTATTTTGGAATTAATCGCATCACAATAGATAAGTAATCCCAAAACTAGGTTGCACCTACTCACCATATATCAACTATCATTTGTAATTATTTTCAAAATAATTCTTTACAAATTTTAAGCTAAGATATAAAACTATAAATCTATTCTTTATATCTATCTGCTATCCAATTCTTCAATTTATCTTTCAATTCCAGCCATCCGATCGATGCCTTGCGTTCGGCTTTCGCCCATCTCGTGTACCTCCACCAATTCTGTAAACACATCACCGCTTGTACAGTATACGGATCCAGCATGTCCTGTGATCGTCGATCAACATGACCTGCTGTGCTGAAGGCAGATTTCTGAAGCTACGTCGGAAACCTGCACTGTTAGTAAGTACGAACCATGGTGGAAAGTATTAGGATTATGAAACTGATTCATATACTTTCATCCATTGTAAAATATCTAAAGCATTTCCTTGACATCTAACTAAGGAACAGCATAAAATATGCATCTATTTCAGAAACCTCCGATGATGAAATCCAAGTCCAGATTCACCAGTTAGCTCAGGCTACCATTGCATACCTACTCTAACTTACAGCTTTTTACCTCGGGCTCGGGATGAGCTCGAAGAAACCGAAGCTGTAGACTGTTGTGCAACTACACCATGTCTAGTTGCATACTCATCATATAAGGTTTGAAAATAATTTCTAATAACTAAATGATGAGTAGTAGCAATAAGGGTGGTTCCATCATCTAAGTATATAACCTGTCCACCATACAATAACTGTAACAAACTTCGAAGGCCAATATCCTTCAAACATGGATCAATATAAGAACCCCCAAACCAAAAATATGAGGAATAGGCCTAAAGTACTTATTAAATTTGCTCTCCATTTCAAAAATCATAGGTCCAAAAGTAGCATCCATACGATATTTATCAAAAAAATTTTGAATATTTAAAATTTGTAAAGCAGCTAAAGTAATGGTTGGATAATAACAGCCAGATAATAACATTGTAGCATCATAAAAAACTTGTAACATTTTATTTAAATTACATATAACTGTCCATTCATCTTCAGTTATTTAAATTACATATAACTGTCCATTCATCTTCAGTTATTCCATAAGTGCTACCAGAACTAGAACTAGAAGCACAATAGTTTATAAAATCAGTTATAATATCTTTATATTCTATTGCTACACTTAACATTGCATATGTGGAATTCCACCTATGGTCAACATCTTTTGGAATTAGTCTAGGCTTTACATTTTTTCTTTTACAAAATTGTTTCCATCTTTTAAGTCTTTGTTCAGAAGCACTATGCATGTAAGCAACTGTTCTAACCTTTTCTATCATGGGTTTAATTTCAGTAAATGCACTTTGAACAATTAAATTTAAAATATGACAGATGCACCTAATATGAAAAAGATCACCATGACATGGCAATGATAAAGATGATCTGATAAAATCAACAGCTACATTGTTATTACTTGCATTATCTAGTGAAAGAGAAAATATTCTTTGTGAAATTTCTAATTTCATAAGTTCTTCAATTATTAAATTTGCAACATTAGCACCAGTATGTGACTCTTCTATTGCAATAAAAGAAACAACTCTTTTAAACATTTGCCAATTTTCATCAATCCAGTGTGCTGTGATACATAAATATCCAGTTTGTGCTCTAGATGTCCAAATATCAGAAGTTAAAGAAAATTTACAGTTTAAATTTTTAAAATAAGAAATTATTTTTTCTTGTTCTTGCTGATAATATTTTAAAATATCACGTTGACAGGTTTGACGAGAAAATTTTTTAAATGCAGGATAAAAACCATCTCTAAACATATCTTCAAATTCATCATCTTCTACTAATTTAAAAGGAAGGTTTTTAAGAATGATAAACCTGATTACGCATTTCCTGGCTCTGGCAGCGTCATAGTTCCAACTACCGAGACTACCAGAAGAGGAGGATTGAGAAATCATGGATTGTCGGATATCACCTTGAGGAGGCTGGCCTTTGTTGTGTTTATCTAAATGGCGTTTGAGGTGGTTGGTGCCGCTCTTATGATGAGCTTGAAAAATCTTGCCGCACAAAGCACACTTAGCCTTCTGGGTGAGGATCCTACCGTGTTCATCCTTGGTGACGTCGATCTTCTCGTAAAAATTCCACACATCGGATCTTGGCCGTTTAGGAGCTCTTGGTGCAGATTCGTCGCCACCGGATTCGGGATTAACTTCGGTAGGAGGACTGATAGTAGGAGGACTCATAGTAGGAGGACTCAATTCAGGATCGGGAGATATGTTTTGCTCTTCATAATCAGATCCGGCCCGGCCCGGCCGTTTTGACACAACGGTCACCACTGGTGATCGTTGTGGCCGGGCCGGGCTCCGGGCCCGGGCTGCCCGGCCCGGATGTGGACCCGGCTCCGGCCCTGTTCCGGGCCGGGCCGGGCGTCGCTGAGGCAACCCGGACCCGGGCTCGGAACCCGGCCTGGCCCGGGCCGGGCTCCGGGCCGGGCTTGGACCGGTGGGTATTTTGGACAGCCCTATGTGTAGATATATGTAAGACTCACCTTGTGCAAGCATAGATAAAATACTTATATGAATAGTATGATATCATGTGCCCCTTCACTAACCCGGAGAGGAGGGGCGAGGGAATAAAAAAAGAATATCATGGGGCCTTCCATATTAGCTAATCTTTGAAAGGCCTTCCTTTCAACAGGCCAATTAGCCCATTAGTAATTAGGATCAAATTACTTGTTGTCCCTCCCTCCCCTTTGCTTCCCTTATCCAACCAATCCTTTCATTTCCAAGCCCTTGCTCATATTTGCCCTCGCCATGGCGCTGCAACCGTTCTCACCTGCTACTACTGCAACTCGGTCTCTTCACTCGAGGATATTTGCATCCCTACCCTTAAGAACAGGTTAATTTTCCCAAAAAACCCTTTTCTTTAACCTATATTTTTATCTTCAGTCGCTTATTTCTTGTTATTATGTAGTTAGACCCAATTTCCATCTCTAAGTGTCAAATACAAGTGTTCACTTTGATTCTGAGATTTATTGGGTTGGAACGATGTAGAAGTAGTCACTGCTTGCTGGATTTTTTTTTAAAAAGAATTTAATTCCCTTATCTAAGAAATTAAAGACCTAGATTGTAAATTTGATGCTGACATTGAAATTGTTCTTGTACCAAAACTTGAACGATCATACTTATGGTATCTTAAAAAAAACATATTTTGGATTTAAGACAATGTGTCATCTTCATGAATAGAATTTGTGAACTAGCAACTTTTGGTGGTTAACAGTGTCTGGTTTAGTGCACCATGACATGGAGGATCGGAGATTTTTTGGTTTTTCCATGTTATTTTTTGTTGTTTTATGATGGGAGGAGGCCCAGGAGAGCGACAGGACCTTTTAGAGTAAAAATGAAGAAATGTGATGATAAAAAGTGATAGGGTATGGTGCTTTGGGTTTCAATATATTCATTTATGCTTCTGGAAGGTGAAGAGATGAAAGAAATGATGGTGAAGTAGATGGCATTGTTGGGTTTATAATCATAATGTAGTACTTTTGGATAACAAATAATATATGTACATATGGAGCTAGATTTATCAGAGGAACTTTTAGTTAGTAAAGATTAATAAGGTTAGAGGGATTGCGATTTTATCTTAAAACTAACCTTTTATTAACTCAATAAATAATGGGTTCACTCTCCAACTTCATAGGCAGTCTTTGTACGAAAGATAGCATTTGAAGGCTACTTGAGATTTGCGGAAAGCTCATGATGTTTGGTGAAATCAACACTTTTGGAACTAAAGCTTTCCGATGTCTATAATATGAACTAAGAAAGAATAGGGAAAAAGACACATAAAGAGAACACGGAAAGGATTTCAAAAACTAATGAAGGTTAGTAATTATCTCAGAGAAGACCATTGTCCTTTTATTTTCCTCAACACTGGTGGGCAACCTTTTTTTTCTATAGCAAATTAGTTTTCATGCAAACTCTGAGTCACTAACCAAATGTACTAAAAAGCAATCGGACCTGGTATTTTTAAAACAATGTTGTTAAACCTCTCTCCTGTTAGTACTTGGTGTCTGCAACTACTATCATATTTAAAACTTCTATATCTAACATTAACAACAGAAACAACAAGAAAGACTTTATCCCAGATTAGTAAATAGACTATTAGAACATTCATAAGCATGTAAACAATGTAAAAAAGTACAGAAAGTATTTTGTTGATTGCCTCATATGCATAAGCACATTTCCCAGTATACTGTTGTTAATGACTCGACCTGCATCAACAAAAAAAAGATAATGCCACCCTCAGTTCAGTTTTGCAAGAAATGTGTCCTTCGCAGAGTGGTGGCCTATTAAACTGTTGGTGTGTTCTTAGTTATTTGTTGTTCATCACTCATCAGCTAGGAATAGTTCTATACAGTTTTTTTTCTTTCTTCCTTTTTTTGCTTGTCTGAATATTTTAATTTTCTTCTACTACTTTATTGGATAGTCTGTTTATTTAATTGATTGTACATACACTTTCTGGAGTGTAAGCTTCTGCTTCCATAGTAGGTTATAGGTAAGTACTGGAGCCTCTAGGATTTTAATGCCCTCTTCGTCTTTCTGAAGAACATAACTTGGTTTATTCTCTGTGACTGCATGTTTTATTGTTTGCTATCTTTTAACTGGAAAGCTTTTTAGCTAAATAAGCACAAATGAAGCAGCCTGTTCTGAGAGGATAGAGTTTTATATCCTTTTGGAAGTATTAAAAATTTTTCCCCTTATAATTTATATTGTCATTCTTTTGCTTATACTAACCAAAGACCAAAATTTCAGATCCCTATCAAAGAAGAGAAAACCACACCAGACATCTTTGTGTGCATGCAAAAGTACTGAGTTCCACTGCAAACTGTGTAAGATTACAAGAGGGTACTGGTGCTTTCTCTAGCAGGTCACCGACTGCTAAACAAATTGTTAAAAAGAGGCAGGTGTACTATTCTGAAGATTTTCTACTTGTTGCTTTATCTGAAACTGCAAAGGACTACTTTGTATAATATTGTCACTGCCTTTTCCTCAGAACAGGAGTTATTAGGTTTGCAACCATTGAAGAAATTGAAGCGGAGAAATCCTTGATTGAGAAGGATGTCGTATGTCTGCTTGTGATTTTTTTAAAATGTGATTTAAATTATTATTTAAATTAGCAAATCTGCTCATTGGTACTGATCTTCTGTCTTTCAGAAAGGGAGGATGGAAAAGACCATAGAAACAGTTCTTGGGAATTTTAATGCAGTGAGGACAGGGAGAGCAAATCCTTCTATGCTTGACCGTGTTGAGGTATGAGCTGGTGCCAATTCATCTTCATTATTTGGCCCTTCTAATGGATTGAGATTGGTGTGTTAGTTTGTTTATAAATATCTCTTCTTCATTTGGAATAAATCGTAAAGAATTCATATATGCATAGTTTATGTTAGATAGTTAGAGAAACTTTCTGCTTTTATATAGCTAACAAAAGAATCCTGAAAGCCATAGAATTCAAGACTGCATTCTATATCTACAGCAAGATTAGTAAAGTAGCACTTGTTTTTTAAGTTTCTAATCCACCTTAACCAGAAGTATTATGTTTGCCAGCAATCACTAGCTCTATGTGCATCAGCCGTCCAGATAAAAGACTGAAGGATTTAAGCATTAGATGTTAAAACTTCAAGTGTATAAAATGGAAATAAATCAAATCAAATTTCTGGGGAAAATGCGTTAACCATCAAAATCTTTTTGAGTTCCTGCTCAAGTAAAGATCTGCCTAAAGTCATTCGAGTTTCCTCTAAAGCAAAAATCTGCCTGCTAATTTGTTTTTCTTATCTTATTTTGCAATAATAACAATACTTCTATGGACATGCTCACCAGTTCTATGCAACTTGTTGGTTAATTTCCTCTGGATTAATATATATAATTCAAGTCAGATATTGAGTTTCATTTTCATTGAACCTCCCTATGCTAGTAGACTTTAGTTGCAAATTTTCTATTAGATTCTATATTGGTGTAACTTCTATCAACGGGTTCTTACAACATACTTATTACTGTTTTCCAGGTTGAGTACTATGGAAGTCCAGTTAGCTTAAAGAGCATTGCTCAGATCAGCGCTCCAGATGCAAGTTCTCTTCTCGTACAACCATATGACAAGTCAAGGTGAACTTCCTTCATGAATTCATGTTATTTGAAGAAAGCATTTCCTTGCTTTTAATATCTCCATGTGTTTTCAGCATGAAAGTTATTGAAAAGGCCATAGTCAGTTCGGATCTTGGTTTAACCCCAAACAATGATGGTGAAGTTATACGGTTGAGCATTCCTCAACTCACTTCTGAGAGAAGAAAGGTCAGTTCTGCTCTGTATCCTATATCCTATGTAATGGGGGAAACATAACAAATAATGCATTATCATGTGTTTGACATAGTTTGTAAGGTTGAAATAAAAAGTATACTTTGGAACATGCAAATTTAGGATATGTGCTTCACTAAAAGCTTGCTAGAGAAACTGCTTAAGCAATTTATATCTCCCTTAAGTAATTCATATCTCCAGCAATAACTCATGTATAGTGGCAACACTTTTAACAAATATATATCAGCTATTTTCCCAGAAATTAAAAACGAAAAACTTCACCAAGTTTGCTGTCTAGGCTGTGATATGACGCTTAGGCGTGTGCTCTGTTTTTGGATATCCATATGCAGTTCTAGAGTGGGTACTAAATATTTGGAGTCAGCAGAAGTTTCTGTTACCAAATGAATGTTATGGTTGTAGTTGTTGCCATATTATTTGTCTTTAGCTAACAAATTCTCATGCACTGCTCTGTTTATAAAGTGGCGGGGGTTATTGTGGAAATTTTGATGCTTGAGTTTTGGCAAGAACTCTCATTAGGCTAAAAAGGGTAAACATTGTAATACATAAATTTTGGGGCTATCGGCATTATGGCCTAGAGGGTGCATAATGAGATCCACTTTCAGATATTTTCTAGGATCCATAACCTTCCCATTCAGATATATTTTAGGTATCCAACCTGAAAAACCTGCTAGGATCCATTTGGTTATCAGGCCCCACTGGGATTCCTATATACAAGTGATGGCCAGCTGACTGATTTTTGCTTATTTTCCATGGTACATTATTTCTAAGTAACAACTATGAGGAGGAACTTAAAGGAACTATCTTCAGAAGTGGCTATGCAATATATTTCAATCATTTGATCTTTTGTCCTTTTTGATGCAGGAGTTATCAAAAGTAGTTGCTAAACTGGCCGAGGAAGGAAAGGTGTTATTTTAAACTTTTAGGGGATATTTTTTCTGTTTATGAGTTGATTTTTATTATTCTTTGGTTTAATCGCTCCTAACAGCATATGTTAAGATAGTTTATGTGTAATGTAGTATGTTCAGATGCTTTTTGAGTTCTCTGTCAAGTTCAATTCTCCTCCATGTATACCACACATGTGCATAAATGAGAATCTCACATGACTCACATAATTTACGAGATCAGAAATCTACTGCATACCACATTATATGTAGGAAGTTGAGTAGCTTCATCATATGTTATGTCCCTCTGTTGCATACCACATTATATGTAGGAAGTTGAGTAGCTTCATCATATGTTATGTCCCTCTGTAAAAATGTATTCATCAGTATTCATTTATGTAGGAAGTTGAGTAGCTTCATCATATGTTATGTCCCTCTGTAAAAATGTATTCATCAGTATTCATTTCTGATTTCAAGGTGATTGATATATGAAGAAGGTAAGTTTTATCAGGCCCCAAGCTGTGCATATACGAAATACACTGCTTCTGCTGTATACCACGAAGCAATGAATATGCTAGTCAATTATTTCCCTAATTTCTTTTTGTTTGTGTTACTGGTTTATAATACAGTGGGATCGTATTTCTTTCACAAGTTAAATACATCTCTCTGTCAGATGTTCAGTCAAATTTTTACACTAATTAGATGCTTGGTGTTGTCCTTGTGCTTTTATTGGTTCATCTGCATTATAATTATGCTCCATCAATTTATCGATATGCTTCTAAATTTCTTGCTACAGGTTGCTATAAGAAATATAAGGAGAGATGCAATAAAAGCCTATGAGAAACTTGAGAAGGTCTCTTTTTCTTCTAGACAGAGGGTTAATTTTGTGAATATCTTTCTATCCATTAGTTAACAAATGTGGTTCAGAAGTTTCTGCCTTGCCTACTAAAAGTTCTGCCTTTCTTACAGGAGAAAAAACTTTCAGAAGATAATGTCAAAGATCTGTCAAGTGATTTGCAGGTTACTAGTTTCTTACTACTGCAATTTAGCATATTTATTTTTGTTACCTTTTCTATAACAATTGCTAGAAAGACAAAAATTATACTTGTTCTGTTTGAGAGATTAACACATGTGGAATGGAATACACTTCTCTGATTGTTTTGCAGAAGGTGACTGATGTGTACATGAAAAAGATTGAGACAATCCAGAAACAGAAGGAGAAGGTTAGCTTCAGATAAGTTTCTCATATATTACATTTGGAATGCTTTTTGATTTTACATCCTCACATACTTTGATTCCCATCCTCTCTTTTGTTTGTGCACAATGATTTAGTGATTGACGAGTCTTTTTCATATTCTTCTGTCAGTTCCAACGCAATCTTCAGACATCCTTCTAATAGTGCCGGTTAATGAGGCTACTTTTCATGTGACAAAATCTGAAGTGCTCCAAATTATCACTAAATTAACTTATCTTGCTTTTCATGTTAACATTTCTGAAGTGAGATTACCTCTTTTACTTTATCCTATTTGAAAAATACATGTTGGTCTGATCTCTGGAGATCTAGTTCCAGCTTTGTAGGATCCATGTCCATGGCCATACATTTTGTGAATTTGTTTATAGAGAGATACTACTTGCATGCATCTTCTTCAGAAATAAGCCTTATTATTTCACTGATGCATGACATAGTTCCACGATGTTTTATCCTCTTCTTTGTTCATGGTTTAATCTTTTTCACATGTGGTCATCATGTACTCAGGAACTGCTGTCTGTATAAGCTTTGAAAATCAAGAGACTGGTAAGCCTCATTTATTGATGTTTGGCTGATTACTCTCTCAAGTCCTTTTCGTCAAGCTGATCAATCCATCAATTTTTTTTTGGGGTGCTATGTTATCCGCATGCTTATGTACACAAAATTTCACATCAGATTTCCAGGTTTGAGTGACTGTAGTGGCAGTTCATGGGCAAGCCTTACACGGAATTTCAGCGGATGAGTCTACTCGTCTTTCCTTTTTATGCAAAATGTTGCTTAGGTGAAGAACTATAATTGTCTCCTGTTCTCTGGAGTTTTTTTGCTTTAATCCTTGTCGAAGTTTTTGGAATATCTTGAATGTTGTAATATAATGGGGGATGGAGTTCTTACATGAAATGACATGCCTTTCTCAAAGTAAACGTTGTCTGCTCAAGATTTGCTGATATGCAATTTTAGCCTTGATAATATTATTTTTTCCCTGTATATGGAAGTGGCAGTAAAGTCTTGTTTCTTCCGAGGATCACGACTTCTCCACTCCATGGGGATATCAGTGTATTAGGATGTTAAATAGTTTCTTTCTTTTAAATTTTTGGAGTATTATTATTATTATTATTATTATTTTGATAACACAACCCAGGCCGGAATTGAACCCAATACCGTGAGAGTCATACCTAACTATCTAGTTCATCTATGGTGGATAATTTGCGGAGTAGTCTTAAAACCAAGACAATACTCAAATCTTTACGTTGTTTAGACTGGAAGAGATTTGGAGGTAATCATGCAGAGTATCGTTTCGTTGTTTAGACTGGAAGAGATTTGGCGGTAATCATGCATGATTCTTTTCTAACATCTACTATTGGTTTTCTTGTCACACTATTCTTAAAGAAGCCCCAGCCTTCAAAGGACAAAAATACATACACCAAATACTATTAAATACAGTCCATCCTACTATCAATAAAAATTAATTGATCTAAAATGATTAGCATCTCATTAATTGTCTTCGGACAGATAGAATGCACATATCATCTATTAGGCATTGAGTGGTAGAAAATATTTTTTTTCCTTATAATTACTTGTATTTGGTAAAACTTTAGTGGAGATCCTTGATATATTGCTCAAATATCATTTAAGTCCTTAAAGTTTGAAAGTAATTAATGGGGGTCCCTAACGTTAACTCCGTCATCAATTTAGGTTATTTTTACAAACTTCCATTAAATCTTGCTAATGCAGGACAAGCGTGTAATTTCACTATCTTTTTTTAGCAGATATGAAAGAACAAATTTGGACTTCCAATAACTTTTGCTAATGTGGCGGTGACATGGCTGATTCACGTCAAGAGAATTTAACGAAAATCTGTGAAAATGACCTAAGCTGATAACAAAGATAATGTCAGAGATCCCTACTCATGGCTTCCAAACATTAAGGACTCAAATGATATTTGACCAGTATATCAATGATCTCCATTGAAGTTTTGCCCAATTGTATACACGTATGTACTAGGTATTCATACATTATATGTACCTTGTTGGCTCTCGTGTTAATTTGAAGAGTAAAATGTTTTCTCATCGAAATATTATCCAAGTTAAATAACCTCTACAACTCTAATTGGTTTATGAAGGCAATTAGTTGATTACGTCTACTAATTTGTGTGGCCTGTGTCAGCTGCGTGTTTATTAAGGTCATAATAATGGGCTGTATTGAGCTAAGCCAGTTCTCAGATATTCTAATATAATTGGATTGCTATTCTTATTTCAGTTGGCTATGAAGACTACTTCACTTACGGGAAATGAGGAAGAAAGTGTTACACAGGGACTTTTGAATAATAAAAAGAAATGAAACTTCACACGCGATTGGTCACTCCTTTATTCATCTCTAGCACAATGCTTGCGTTTCTACAAAATCCACTTATGGTGGAATTTAAGGTGAAAAGAAGAAAACCTAACTTTGATTAATCTTTGAAGAAACTGTTGCGCTCTGATACCACTTGTTGCACGTCATGCGGAAGCGTGCTCGACAACCAAACGAGTCGGTCAGCGATGAGAGAAGAAAACAAAAACCAAACACGAGTGCAATTCACAAAATAACGACCAAAATCACACACAAACACAGGAATTTACGTGGTTCGGCAATTGCCTACGTTCAGGGGGAGAGGGTGGGGAGATTTTACTATATGGAGGAGAAATACAACGGGTTATAACTTATAAAATCACTCAAATATAACCCTAACCAAAGCTCTCAACTCCCTCACAATATCTCCCTCTCAAAGTGCTCAAAACAATGCTAATTCTCTCCTTTACCACTCTTGGCTCCCTTCAATAGCCCCTGCTTGCACAAAAGCCTGCAATGACTTCTCTCCTGTGTGCCCCAACCTATAATGCCAAAGCCTGCTCATGTCCGCCTCTAAAATAGCTGAAGCAACCTGGCCAATCTCGGTACTCCCCTTCAGATAATACAATTTTTGACTGCGGACTCCCTTCATCACCACCAAAGCTCCCTTAGCAACCATTGCTACAGCGTCTTCAAAGGTCACCTTGAATCCTTTTACCTCCAAATCTCTAACTGAGATAAGATTCTTCTTTAGCTGAGGAACAAATCTCACCTCCTTCAATTCACGAACTACTCCATCGTGCATCCGGATCCGCACGGTACCTATCACACAAATAACACAGGATTGATTATTTCCCATGACTACAACTCCCCCATCGAGCTTCTCAAAAGATGCAAACTAATCTCGTCTAGGGGTCACATTATAGGTAGCACTGGAATCAAGCATTCAATCTGATGCATCCAAGTGGTTCACCTCCAGAATAATCAATAGAGAAAAGCTCGAATCATCAGAGTCATCGCCTTTCGCAACGTTCACCTCATTGGCCTTCAGGCTCTTTTTCTTGTCATTCTCCTTCTCCTTGAGGTTCGGACAGTCTCTCTTCTAATGTCCTTGTTCCTTGCAGAATGCACATTGGTTATTTGCTAATTGGTGGCGGCTTCTTGACTTTGACCTTCCTCTATTACCACCTTTCGGATATGGACTTCTACCTCTCGTCGACAAGGCTTCACCTGAAGTACTAGCACGAGAAGTCTCATTGTCCTCCTCCTCAAATCATAATTTGTAAATGCATTAGTAACTTCACTATAACTGATAGAAGATCTTCCGTTCAACAAAGTGAGCACAAATGTGTCATACTCCTCATTCGGTAAGGAGCCCAATAAGATAATAGCCTTGTACTCATCCGATATCTTCTCATCAACATTCGCCAAGTCCGATAATAACTTCGTATAGTTGTTCACATGAGCCGCAAGCGAGGTGTCTCTGGACATCTGGAATCTGAATAACCTACGCAGCAAATACAACATGTTCTCAACACTCCTCGTAAGGTACTTATTGTTGAGAATTTCCCATATATTCATCGCAGACGTCACCCCAATCACATCATACTTCAGCTCCTGTTCCAAACAGGACCTGATCACCCCACAAGCGTTCCTATTCATCTTTTCCCATATCGCCTCTTTATATTTTAGTGGTCTCTCATGGACCATGATGGTCTCCTCCAAGTTCTGAGCATTGAGCGCATCATGTACGTCGCTCATCCACAAACCAAAGTTGATTTTATCGTCATATTTCACCATACTAATTTTGGTGTTCTGAAAACCAACTTGAACTGTACTCGCCATCGACTTGCTGCTTTCACATTCTTCTCCCATTGCAAACTAACTCCAAGTTGTAGAAAAAGAATCAAACTTTAATAGAAATTAAGAATTACCTAACTGAACCCTAGATCGGATTCTAAATAGATCTCCTGTCCACACGAGGAAAGCGAAATCTCCAACGGTAACTCCTAATGCTATCTCCACCGAAGCCTAGAACTCCAAGAACCAAGCTTCACACAAGAGTCTTCCTCCACCTAATTCTAAAACCCTAGATCTAAAACCTGGTCTCTGATACCAATTGTTGCGCTCTGATATCTCTTGTTGTGCTGCCGAAGTACTATTGAAATTTCCTCTACGCACAACAGAAACTTCCTAGTTATGATCTCCATATTTATATAAACTTAAATAATCACACGCTTCTAGCCTCTGGGGGAAGACTAGAGGAGGTTTCTAGTCTTTGTAAATTGACCCTCGCAAAAGACTGATCAACGGTATGGGCTTCGTCAAAGATATTGGGTGGCACTAGGGGCACACTCTCAACCACATCCCAAACCACACCCCCTCTCTCATATGCTACAGTGCACCGGGCCCCACATGGAATTTTAAATTTTTAAAACCACATGTGGGGCCCGGTGCACAGTAGCATATGAGAGAGGGGGTGTGGTTTGAGATGTGGTTGGGGGTGTGTCTCTATCATATTCCAAAGATATTGTTGAGTATTATCATTCCACTGGATATTTTGCTGAAGTTTTGTCCAATCACAACTTTTTTTAAAAGTCAAAATAAGACTCATTCTCTTCGGAACAATTATACTGACATAAATCAAATGATTTAGGGGAGTTATTGGTTGAGGATTTTTATTTAGGACTAAGACTTTTTCTAGGATTTAACTTTAAGAAGCTATTGACTTATGATTAGGATTTGAAATTTAACTTAATTTGTTACTGATTTAGGACTAGAGATTTGGATTTAACTTTATGATGTTATTGATTATTTAGGATTATGATTAGGACTAAGATTTTGAAGATCCAAATCTCAAACCTACTCTATATATGCTGGTGAGAAATTTGAAAAAAAATGTCCAAGTAAAAATTAGTGGATTGTGATCTCTCTCCTTGGATTTTCTTTTTCCCTAAAGAATATTTAATTTTTAAATTATTAAATATATTTAAATAATCTATTAAAAAGTATTTAAATTATATATATTTAATATGAAATATGTTAAATAGCTAAAAATAATTAAGCCATTGAAAATTCATTATTTTCTTAGTTAAATTTTAATATTACTTACATTTAATATGTACTTATTTACAATATTTATTATCTAATATTTATATTATATATAATAATAATAATATCATTAAATAATTATATATATTTAAGCTATGATAAATAATAATTTAGTTAATCTTTAAATTGAATATATTGTATTAAATATATTACAACATAAATATAAAAATGATTAATATACAAATTAAATATATTTTATTTTATGTGTGAAATATATTTAAATATTTAATTAAAAATAGTTAAAATTGAATATATATAATATTTTATTAAAATGTTGGGAAAAATGTGTCCAGGCCACAAAAACAGAAACTTCATGTGCTGCAGCCCCTCCTAGTTTCCCCCATGTGGTTCAGCCCCTTGAAGTGTGATATTTTGTGCTGCAGCCCTTTTTTAACAATTATTATATGCGCCTCCCCTCCTCTCCTCCGCCCGACCTCGTCGCGGTAGCTCGCCGTCGCTCCCCGTCTCGCCCTCGACTACGCCGGAGTTCGCCGC